AGGCCTTGAACACTAATGAGCGAAGACCATATGATTTGTGGGAGGATGTCAAATGTATCATCCAGGAAGAGTGCAAACGGTCATTGCAAAGACAGAAGAGGAAGGAAAGACCAAAATGAATGTCAGAAGAAGCTCTGAATATTGCACTGGAGCGCAGAGAAGCCAAAGCACAGGAAGAATTCAAGATACTAAAGAACTGAACAGAAGATTCCAAAGGGCAGCACAGAATGACAAAGCAAAATTTAGTAATATACTCAACTAAAAAGTTACGACATAAAAATATATGGAACACAAGATTAACTTCCAAGTGGAAACTGAGCCTAAAATGGAAAAACAAAAATATGAAATATATGGAAGACAAAGTGGAGGGATCGATTATAGCTCTGGCATAGGAAGGACTTCTTAAATTATACTAAAACTCATGTACAACTAAGAGAAAGAGTGGTTCATCTTACTTCCTTAGGATAATTAACTTATTGCATCCCAAGGGGGGTGGTACGGGGCTGGGGAAAGCCTGGAGTTCCAGATGCCGGATATTTGTATTCAGGAAAAGACTCCCACTTGTGGTAAGTGAGGTCGGATGTGCCGAGCAGGACGAGGACGGCTCAGGATGGGACAGGGTTAGCGAGGCTGTTCACAGGGTTGCTCTGAACACAACTAGATGACACCCCACAGCAGTAACAACAGTGCTAGGGAGCTGTCCTGGGAGCCCAAAGGCTCGCAGTTTGAATCCCCCAGCTCCTCTGCAGAAGAAGGAGGAGTAACCTCCTCTCATGGGATTTACTGCCTCTAAAAACCCACTGGAGGGTCAGTTATGGGCCAGTTCTGACTTGATGCCCCTCTTCCTCCTCCTCCTCCTCCTCCTCATCCCAGTAAGGAATAGACAAACTATGCAATGGGGACATGGAGAAGACACAGACAGACCATTTACAGAAGAGTGAATCCGAATATTCGGCAAACAGGCAAAGAGATGTCAGCTGTACTAGTAATTAGAGAAACTGGAAAGAAGCCATCATGAGATACCATCTTACTCCCATCAGCTCAGCAAAAATGTGGACAATTCAGGTCACGGAAGTTTGGGCAGGTTTGTGTAGTCGCAGAAACTTACCTCTAGAGAGAGGCGGTGGGCGCACCTACTTAGGAGTCGATGTGTCAAAACTTGACAGATTCTGCTCTCAGTACCCAGTCATTCCGTTTCCACTCCAGCGAGGCCGTGGCAGGTGTGCGTGTGCGCACGTCCAAAGATGTCTGTCACAGTGTTGGAACGGAACAACAGCCGAAGAGGGATGAATCTGAATTTCCATCAGAAATACCAACAAGGGCAAACAGGTTAAGCTCTGCTGACTCGTGGACCAGGCAGCGCTGGGAGCCGGGGGCCTGTGCTCCACGTGCTGACAGGCAGGACGCCGCGGGAAAGCAGAAGGTGCTCCCACAGACCGCCCCCAGCACCTTGCTGCCTCCACATGGCCTCAGAGGAAAAAGCAAAATCAAGCCCCTCACATTCTTGTCGAGGGGTCCAACAGGTTGTCCAAGAGCAGCGAGTGCCGATGAGGGGTCACAGCGACCCTCCTCATTTTATATCTGGGGCTCAGCAATGAGTCTGGGGGTCAATAATGAGTCTGGGTGTCAGCGATGAGTCTGGGGGTCAATAATGAGTCTGGGGGTCAGCGATGAGTCTGGGGTGTCAGCGATGAGTCTGGGGTGTCAGCGATGAGTCAGTACCAACCCCACAGCAAGGAGGAGGGAGGGAGAGAGTGTGTTGTGATCTGGAGTAAAACACAAACACATCAGGCCAAGAGAAGACAAGAAACGAAATGTACTGAGCCATGCTATTGACGAAGACCAGACACACAGACCCGAGTCGGGGGGAGCAGCCGATCCGGCGGTGTTTACAAAGCAGTGCGTCACAGCAGAGTTGACTTTCTCAGGAACATGAGCATGTTCCAAGTCCCACGGTCCACTTGTGCAAACAGCTGCGTGGAGCCCCTCTCAGTGGTTGTGGAAACATGTCACCTTTCTCCTGAGGAGCCCTGGGCAGACTTGAACCATCGACCTTTTGGCTGAGGGCATCCATGTTCACCATTTGCCCCCCTGCCCAGAGACACCAATCTACCTGTGCCATTCAGTCACAATAGTCGCCCAGGGAGAGCATTCCTAAAATGATGTCATGTTTCAGTTAGTCTGTCATTGCCATCAGGTAGGTATCGACCCATACTTGACCATCTAGTGGGCTGGCTATTTCTCTCTCTCTGTCTATATATGTTGTTATGTACCATTGAGTCAGAACAGACACACAGTGCCAGAGGGCTTTCAGAGGCAGTAAACTCACTGGAGGACCCTGCCCATCTTCCTCCCACAGAGCAGAGGGTGGATTTGAACCATAGAGCTTTGGGTCGGCAGCGCAGCTCCTTACTCAACCACCAGACCACCCCTTACACACAGAGAGCAGATTCCATAATTACGGTACTTTATTAGAAAGCGCTGTGGACTTGACTGCTTTTCTCACCAAGTGCTGACAGCGTTAGGAACGTGCTGTGTACCAGTGTCCCGAATGTTCTGGACCTTCTCTTGCAAAGCTCGCCTCCATTCGCCTCACTTTCTGTTCACTTCAGGTCACCAGGCTCTTAGGATTCAGCGCTGGTGTCCGAGGTGGGCATGGGAGCACCAGTCGCTCATGTCCGCTCATGTCTGCCCTTGATGCCTTTGCCCCAAATGTCTGTTCCAAGTTTGGTAGATGGTTGCTCCTGTGGCCCCGTGGGCGTGGGACTCCCAGAAGGAGGCCCTCAAACCACATCGTGGTGTGCTTCTAAACTCTGAAGCTCTTGAGAAGCAAAGGGATTGATCCAGGCCACGGAGACGCGGCGACCGAAGACGACCTTAAGGTTCATCCACTTGGTGCCCTTGCCGCCGGCACGCTGCCTCTGCAGCAGCTCGACGCTGGTCCGGTCGGTGCAGATGGCGTGCATCTGGGTCCCGAACATGGTGGAGGTGAACAGGAGGCCCTTCACACTCACCAGGAAGAGGAAGATGAGGGCGCCGCGGGGGGACACGGGGCTCGCAGTATCCCACTCGCCCCGGGCGTAGGCGCGCAGGACCGACACGCCGAGCAGCAGCAGCGCGTGCAGCGAGGCCAGCCCGGTGTAGAGTGTGAAGAGCACGAAGTACTTCTGGTTGTCCTCGCCCACGCAGTTGTTGACCCAGGGGCAGTGATGGTCCATCTTCCGGATGCAGCAGCCACACACTCGGCAGTGGTGTGCGCGCGGCGGCCTGGAGCTGCCGCAGCGCTGACACTGGGGCGCCCCGAGCCAGGGCGCGTCGCCTGCGCGCACGGAGCCAGGGTCTGTGAGCATGGTGCGTGCGTGCGACGCGAGGCCCAGGAAGACCAGCAGGTGGAACAGCACCCCGTTGACCACAGCGTAGACCACGTTCTGAGCTGGGAGGAGCAGCTCGTACACCAGCACGCCCGCAGCGCTCAGCACCAGCCCCCAGGTGCCCACAGCGAACGCGATGCCCAAGGCGTCGCGCACGAACCACACTCTATGGTGCTGTGCGGAGGGTGGCCACCGAGGCCCTATCCAGATCGCAGCACGTGGCCCAAACCTATGCGTACTCTTGGGGACCAGGTTGGTGGAGGCGCTGCTTGGCATGACCAGCACTCTCAGGCACCCCTACAGCACTAGCCACCCGTGGAGGGGTCTCCGGGGAGCGGCGGGGTCCCGAGGGAGGGGCGTCAGGGTGACAGAAGGGGTCCCTTCTCCACCATAGCCCACTGGCCTGGGCTGGACACCCTCTGCTGGGGCCTTGGGCGGAGCGCAGGGGTGGGGGCCACGACAGCCTTAATCTCCATCCTGCGGACTGGAAGTCAACATTCTAGAATGTGCTTTCGGAATGGGGGTTTGTGATTGCAGAAAGGGCAGCCTTGGGGCTCGCTCAGACCAGCCCCTGCCCACCGAATGGGTTCCCTTTTTGGCGCGACCTGAGGCTTGGGGGTCCTGAGTGGGTAGAGATGCTGCACTTGACAGGCACCGTTGAGTCACCCTCACGAAGCTGGTGCAGGAGATGTAGGGCTGCAAGGGGCCTTAGTGTGAGGTGACCCCAGGCACCTGGTCACGCTGCCTGTTGTGAGGAGCTGGGCCAGCCTGTGTTCTGCAGCTTTGCTGGATCCATCACTGTGGACCTCCTTCCTAGAGCCCTGAGGGAGGACGGAGGGTCACAGCTGGCCACATCTGAGGCCATGCAGCCTCCCTCACCCCCCCCGCCCCCATCCTTATCCTAACCTGGCAGACCTGCCCTGAGGACCTTACCTGCCTGAGAGGAGGACCCTGCAGGGAGCAGTCCTCCTGCGGAATTCCTGTGGAATCAGGTCCTTTCTTCTCAACTTTGGTCCTTTTCCATTGAGGCTACGGTGGCAACAGGCCCATGTCCTCCAAGGGCGGAGCCTGTGGGCAGCTCTGCACTTTGTCCTCTGGACCTCACACCTTGTATTGTGGACCCAGACCTTGCCCTGTGTCCCCTGGCTTTTCTGCACCTTCAACCCCATTTTGTAGCAGTTCCCAGGGAGACATGCACACCTGCAGGTGCTCTTGTAGAGCTGTGGAGCGGTGCGAGGGGTTCCTGTCCCCCGAGGAATTGCACCTTTGCACGGCGTGCCTGTGATCACAGTTTGCCACTTGTTACGTGTGCGTTGCTACCCTCTGGTGTTCGGAGGTGGGCCTGGCCGACTGGCTTTTCCAAAGGTCTGGAGGAGGCAGTTCTAGGTCCCGGTCATAGAGCAGTGCCACTGCCTGCTGCATGCTCCTGACCACTGGGGACCAGGAGTCCTGTTACGCTCCATCCTTGCTTTCTTAGTTGGTAATGCACAAGTGGCACCCACTTCCTAAACAACATGCCTCTGGAAACTCTGTGAACTCTAATAAATGTCAGTAGTTGTAGAGGGGCTTCAGGTTTTTTTGTTCACGGGGTTGGTATGAATCGTGCTCGACTTGAAGGCACTCAACAGTAACAACAACAACAACAACAACAATGGCCTAGAGCAGCAAGGTGGGGTCTACCTAGACAGACAGAGGACACTGATTGAAGGATGGAGATGATGCAGACAGGAGATGTCCACGTCAGTTAAAACAGCTACTCTGGAATAAAAAAAGGGTCCATTCTTGCCCAGTGGGCCGTTAGGTTCCATCAGGTTAACTAAGACTCGTGGTGACGCCATGAACAGCAGCCCTGAGCCTCGCTCTGGCCTGCACCAGCCTTGCCTTCTCCGTCCTGCGCAAAGCCCTGTTACAGTCGCTGTGCCAGCGCGTCCCACCCAGGGGCGTCCTCTCTCCTGCTGACCCTCCACCTTTCTCAGCATCAGGTCTTTTCCTAAGGACTGTTCTTCTCTGACAGCACGCTCAAAGTTGCACCATCCTGGCCTCCAAAGGGCACTCAGGTCACACCTCCTTCCAGCTGAACTTGTTCATCCTTCCAGCAGTTCATGGGGTAATCGGTATTCTTTTCCAGCAGCGTAATTCAGCATCATCCTTACTCCTTGTCCAGCGTTCAGACGCATGGGTGTACAGTGGGAAGGGATCTTGAGCTGGGACCCTCGTTGGCTGAAATAGCATCAGGGGAGTTAAAGGAGGGATATCAGGAGAGAGAATTTGGCAAGGATGGGTGGATGAGACACATGCGATCACATAACTGGCCAAGGGTTTAGCCGTTCAGTTCATCCCAGGTGGCCCCCAACAGTGATGGGACAGGTTTTTCTGGTAACTTGTTGGTGAAATCACTTCTTGGGGCATCTCTGTTTGTGAGATCCTCTGTAAAGATGTGCCTATAATGTCTTGCACCAAGGCCCAGGGGATGTAAACCATGCCATTTTTCATCTGTTTGATTGTAATGAAAATGCCCTTGGTCAAAGATCATCATGTCCTGCACCTACCAGACCTCAGAGAAAAGGCATGTTTCCAGGCGTCTGCTTAGGGCCTCTGGGAGGTCTGCATCCTGGCCCGCAGGCAGCTGTGCTGCTAAGCCCAAGGCCATGCCTCTCTGCTGGTTCGAATGCACCACTGGCTCTGAGGGAGGAGAAGGGCACTTCCTGTCCCGTGATTTACAGCCTCAGAATCCTGCTGGAGGGCCTGCTGAGTGAATGGGCTCTGAGTTGATGGCAATGAGTTTGAGTTATTTTGGTTTTTTGAGGTGAAGTAAGCAGCAAGGCTTGAGGGTCTGCTGCAGAATAAAGCTAGTTTCAAAAGTGCACGCTGGGTTCCAGATCATGTCATGTCTTTGAAGTGGACTAAGGGCTCGGCTTATACACATCCCAGCTGCCCCAGCTGTGGACACTTTTCCAGCAGTGCTGGCCCTGACCCAGGCCTGTCCTCAATGTTCCCATCAGCTCGAGCTTCACATTTCCAGCTACAGCACCCAACTGTTGTTGTTAGTGCTGTTGACTTACCGAAGACTCATTGTGACCCTATGCACATAGTTCTGAAGCTTGCTCTGTCTTGAGCCAGTCTCACTGTTTCTGACACACGTACTCCCATTACCCCAGTTACTGAGTCAATCCATCTCATCCGGGGTCTTCCTCTCTGCATTGTCCTTCCACCCTTCCAAGCATGATATCCTTTTCCAAGGACTGGTCTTGAAACATGTCCAAAGTATGTGAGATGGAGCTTCAAAATCCTAACCTTCAAGGAGAAACTTGGTTTCATCCTTTCCAAGACAAACCTGTTTGTTCTCTTGGTGGTCCATGGTATGTTCAATACTCTTCCCCAGCACCACAACTCAAAGTCATTGATTCTTCTACAACCCTTTGAAATTTTTGTGTTCTCTGCAAGTAATTGCGAAGGCCATGGCTTATATCAGGGGCAACTTAGTCTCTAGACTGACATCGTTGCTCTTTAGCGCTTTGTAGAGGTCCCTGACAACAGGTTTTTCCGATGCAATTCATCTTTTGATTTTCTGACTGCTGATGCCAAAAGTGTTTATTTTGGTGGCAAACAAGATGAAATTGTGAACAATCTCTACCTGTTCTCCATCTATCATGAAGCTGCCAATCGGCCCTGTGGTGAGAATCTTTATTTTCTTGATGTTGAGCATCAATCCCTATTGAAGACTGCCGTCCTTGACCTTCTGCAGCAAGCACTTCAGGTTTTCTTCAGTTTCAGCAAACAAGTCTGTGTCATCTGTATAACTCAGCTTGTTGATGAGTCTTCCTCTGATCCTGAGGCCACATTCTTCCTCATAAAGTCCAACCTCCTGAGTGATCTGTTCTGCAATATAGGTTGAAAAGGTATGGAGAGGAGCATTCTTTTCCTGATTTTGAACTATGCAGTGTTTCCCTGCTCTGTTCTGAGGACTTCTTCCTGGTCCAAGTATAGGTTTTGTATAAGCACAATCAAGTGTTCTGGGATTCCCATTCTCAAGGTTAGCCACAATTTGTTGTGATCCACACAATCAAATGCCTTTGCCAGTCAAAGAAACACAGACCTTCCTCTGGCACTCTTTCCTTTCAGCCAAAATTTATATGACATTGGCGATGATGTCCCTAGTGCCTCTAGGGCCTCTTTTAAATCCAGCTTGCGCTTCTGGTAGTTCTCTGTTGAGGTACTGATCCAGTCATTTTTCAATAATCTTCAGCAGGATCTTGCATGCGATAGTAGTGATATTGTTTGATAATTTCCACACTCTGTTAGATCACCTTTTTCTGGAATGGGAATAAATATAGATCTTACCCAGTCAGTTGGCCAGGTGGTTGTTCTCCAGATTTCTTGGCACATCCTTGTGAGTATGTCCCAGGGCAGCATCTGTTTGTTGAAATGTGTCAATAGGTATGCCATTAATTCCTGGAGCTTTATTTTTTTGCCAATTCATTCAGAAAAGCTTGAACTTCCTCCTTCATCACCATGACTCCTTGAACATATAAGTTGTTTCATTAAGTTCTTCTGTGTCAGCCAATTCTTCCTCCCCACCTCCTTCAATTTGTTGGAGATATTGGGTTAGAGAGTCAATGGTAATTTTTTTCCTGCCTTTTGATATGTTTGCTTATTGCTATAAATTGTCCTTGATTACGGCTTTGGCTGTTTCCCAGAAGTTTTGGTAAGTTGTGTTTTCATTGTCATTTGTTTCAAGAAACTTTTTAATTTCATTTTTTATTTCTTCTCGTACACACTCATGTTCAAGCAAGGTGCTGTTCAGCTTCCAAATGTATGTTATTTTCTCCTTTATCCTCTTGCTATTAATTTCTAATTTTGTTGCACTGTGGTCTGAGAAAATGCTTTGTATTATTTCTATGTTTTTAAATTTATTGATGCTTGCCTTGTGACCTAAAATTTGATCTTTTCTGGAGAATGTTCCATGCACATTAGAGAAAAAGGTATACTGTGGGGTTTTTTCTGTGTATGTGCATTAGCTTATAAATATCTATGAGGTCGAGTTGGTTTATTGTGTGGTTTAATTCTTGCACATCTTTGTTGAGTTTTTTTTCTGGTAGTTCTATTTTTTCTTGAGAGGGGTGTATTGAAGTCTCCAACTACTATAAGAGTGTTTTCTATTTCCTTTTTCAGTTTTGTTAATGCTTATTTTATTTATATTTTGCAGGTCTTTTATTTGGTGCATAGATATTTATTATTATTATGTCCTCTTGTTCTCTTGACCCTTTAAGCATTAT